CAACAGATAGCACCCTGATTCACCAGCCCATTTCCATAACGATGCTGATCATGAGCAAATCAGCAGCTTTCTGTAGGTCTGACTTGCAAATATCCTTTTGTAAGCAGAGATGAGCTCATTAACTGAATAATAGAATTTGATTCTCCTGTATGCAATCTGTAATACCTTGATTAAGCTGACCAATGGAAATATCCCAATTCAAAAAGAAAGAAAATACCAGAAAACTAATATGAAGCAAAATGCAATAGAAAAAAAAAACTGCAAACAAAATTATAGTGAAGTCAATGCAGTATTTTTTAAACAGGATGCAGCCCAAATGATTGAACACTGACAGATGCATGGCTGAGGGAGTTCAGAGCTCAACTACAACAGTAACCATGAAGAGAGGGAAGAAAGTCCAATCACGTTTCTCTTATTGTTCAAAACAACACAGGGGTTAGATAAGTAAGGCAGGGCTGCAGAAAATTAAGAAATTGAAGAAGATGAACTGTTGTCATGATCTGAGGTGAAAAATCCATATATTGTGACAAGAATTTGAATTTCTTCTGATTCAAGTTTTAATTGCACTCTCTGTAAGCAAGGGAAAATCTATGCCTGATACAACCGATTCAAACTAAAAACATTTGGAAATGAAAACATTGCTAAAATTTTTCAACGTGCAAAAGAAGAAGTAGAAACACTAATCTAGAATTAAAAAACCCAGAGCTATTCTAATTTCTTGAAGAATCTACTTTTTCAGAAGTAGGCTGAGCTCCACACTGCTTTGGAATCTCATTAATCTTAATTCACTTCTCACTGTATCAGCTTCCCTCTAACACGTGACTAACCCACAAAAGAAAACACGAGCAGTCTCTGCTTCCAACCATAAGTAGGTATCCAGTTCCAGCTGTATGTTAAGAGCTGAATTCCCAGTGCAGGGGATGATGAGGAAGGAACACAGAGTGGGCAGAACCTTTAACCAGTAGGGAAGACTTGCAACAGGGAACAACAAAAGATTTAGCATTACAGACAGCATGTGAAAAAGGTGACTCAAGTGTGTGAACAGAAGTCAGTTACGACCCTGCTGCACTGCACCAGGAATGCGCAGAACCTCCAGTTAAGCACTCAAAGAAGAGAAAGGAATAAGAAATGTATAGATATATAGATACAGAAAACCCAAATCTATGCTGCTAATTAAAGAGCCAGAGAGAAGCCAATGAAGTAAAAACAAAGCAACAACAACTGAAAAACTACCACCAAAAAGGCCCACATTGTTTTGGTAAAAGCAGAACTACAGTAACAGCAGTCAAATACAAAATGTCATTGTATACCAACAAAAGACAACCCCTGAAAGGTAACTACAAGTATCTACTCAGCTCTTCCGAGTAACACGCTACAAATAACTTTACTAGCTAAGATTGCTTACGAAATACAGAAGTCATGCTGTTTAACTAAATGGAGTTAACAAGTTATCCCCGTGTTGGTTTTTTTGTGAGTTTGTTTTGGTTTTCAACTTGCTAAGGGGCATGCTCTGAACGCAGAGCTGAATTACAGTTAGCTTTAGTTGGCTTCACACACCAGGTTCTCAGCTGTGAGAGCTGACATGTATGGCTTTGTTCACTTGTGACACGCCAGTTATTCCTCCTTTTACCACAGAGCTCCAGTGGGGAAATTCTAAATAAACGGAAACTAAGCCAGCCAAGGGTTTGTGCATTTTCTTAGCTTTGAAAAAGGACAGAAGATTATCTACTGAGCTTCATGAAGCAGCAACAAAGCGAAAAAAATAAATGATCCTAAAGCGAAACAGTTCTTTGTGTATTTTCTGAAGAGAAAAAAAGAAAACAAAATTCCCAAATTACAATCTAATAAAAAGAAAGTAATTATGCTACTCTTTTTGAGTAAATTCTGCATCTTCTTTTTTTGATCAGTTGCATTACGGCTTGTCTGACGATTTTAAACACCTACAATCACATTTAACATCATCACAGAATTTTTGTAACTGGAGCAAATAACCTCTTAATCTGCCAATATTTCAAACAACCAACAGGCTGAAATCCACTGAAATCAGACGTTTTTCAGTCACTTATTTATACTTGATCTTCCTCCTATACTTCCCAATATACACATACGTTTCTTGAGTTCTAAGTGTGCTGTTCAGGAACAGTCACATTTCTGTTATCAAATAAGCCATCTTGCCTCTCTGCACCCAGCCTTTATTCTTCTGATTTGATTGTTAAACGAAAAGTTAAAAATGCATGCTAAGTACATATGATTCATCAAGCCAGAAGTAATAGGCCTAAGAAACACATAGTTACAGAAGTCACTGAACTGCAAGAAATTAAAGAAATGAAACAGCCATTACCTCTGACAGGGACGCATCAACCTTGGAAGGCACTTTCAGATCCAGCCACGGCTGATAGTTTTCCAAGAGTAAAGCAGGTCTGTAGGAAACCATGGAAAAGTTGATGCAACAATACTGCAGTTTTCCCACTGACATACACAAAATGTAAGAAATAACAGGACTGCCAGTGCCACACATTTAGTTTACCTGTGCCTCTTGCATTTGACTTTGCCACACACAGCACAACTGTGACCATGGGGAAATAGCTCCGGCAATTCCAATTGCTAAAAGAAAATATTTGGACAAGTTTGCATTCTTTGAAATGATGATTCTCATAATATACTGATACATTAATAAATTTCTCTTTAGAGTATGCAGTTACAGAGAGTTGAGTGGTAGAAAGACAAAGCTGTTTCCCAGCAGGAAAACAAGGCAGCAAGGTACAATAAGAGAAACCACTGAAACAAACAGAAAAAGCACTTTGGCTAAACAAAGTTTAAGACAACAGATAACCCCTCACATCTCCAGTCATCTCCCCATACATCAGATGGACTATAACTAGAGCAAGTGGTTTCTCTACAAGTCTTACCTCGCTTGGATTCCTGAAGATAGAAACAGGGATTTCATAAAATAGAATCATAGAATCCTTAGAGTTGGAAGAGACCCTTAAAGACTGTGTAGCCCAACTCCCCAACAAATGAAAAGGGACACCCACAGTTAGATCAGGTTGCCTGGGACTTGATCCAACCTCACCTTGAAAGTCCCCAGGGATGGGGCCACCCACCACATCTCTGGGCAACCTGTTCCACTGCCTCACCACCATCACCGTGAAAGACTTTTTCCTTATGTCAAACCTAAATCTACCCTCTTTGAGCTTAAAGCCATTTCCCTTGTTCCACTACCACGGACCTTGATAAAGAGTCTGTCCCCTTCTCTCCTATAGAAACCTTTTTTTTTTCCATGGAGTTTAGCACCACTAAAAGAAGTTTGACTACAACCAATAAAACTGTAGTTTGGCTACCAAAAGGAAAGGGATCCTTAAAAAAAAAAAGTATTCATAAAGTAATATGCTACTAAGTACTTTCTAAGCTACTTACTACTGAATTGCCAAATGAAAAATAAGTGAAATGGTTAAAAAGCCACATCCAGCAACGCTTCCAGCAACAAGCTTTAGGGACCTATCTGTAGATTTGACAGGATTATGCATAAACACACGAGAAATCCACAGTCTTAATCACCACACTTGTGCCACAAGACCCGTCAGCATGTAGATATAAGTGGAATTGATGCCTAATACTTTAAAAGTAGGAATGCACACGAACTGCCATCCACGCACATTGCCTCAAAAGCGCAGAGGAACGCGTACTTACCTTGGGCTTGTATTTGATAGTGTACAGAATGTTGGGCAGGAGGGAGTCCGGTCCCAGCGAGCAGTAGAAGGTGACGACACCAGCCACAAACGACCAGAAGATCATCAGAACGTGAAGGTACCTTACAAAAAACAAGGAAAGAAGACGTTTCCCTTCTCATGTGTACGCACATCGGCGTTCCTCGGCACAGGGCTACAGCGCGGTCAGGAAGAACCGCCACCATACGGCTCACGGCACCGCGCCCCTCCCCCCGGCCGGATTACCGGTTAAGAAGCAGGGTGGCGGCGGCCAGCCCCAGCAGCAGGCAGCAGAAGAGCGGGTACTGCCGGCAGGTCTCCCGCAGAGCCTCGGCGCCCCGCACCCGCTGCCGCAGCCTCTCGCCGGCCGCCCGCAGCCAGCCCATGGCGCCTCCGAGCCGGCTCCCAGCCAGCGGGAGAGGCCGCGCAGCTTCCGCCGGCGGCGGCACGTGACGGGACCCTGGGCGGCGCCACGGCCGCCATCTTGTTGACGGCGGGGGAGGCGGGTCCTGCGCTTCCCGCCCCGCCCAGGTGTGCGCGCGCCGCCCAGCTCCCCCTAGAAGTCGCAGAGCGCATGGAGTCGAGACGGAACGCCTTGTTTGGATTGTAGTTTATTGCTGCTGAGGAAGGCTTCAAGCCATCTTCACGTTAATAACAGCCCTCTGGTGCGGAGCAAGTCACGAGTTCCCACGCTGCCTGAATGTTCTTGTCAGCACTGTGCTTATCCCAGCTCTGGAAGCTCCAAGTTATGACTGCAGCTGAGGGAAGGTGGGCCATTGCACACATACAGGCGCCTCAGCAGCTGCTCGTGGGAAATCACAGCAGGATGGGCTTCTGGGCTACAAATATGAGAAAGCCTCTTCAGACAGAAACACCTGCTTATTTCTGAGTTATCTTGAGAAGCTGGTGTTGCCTTTTATATGGTGTACAACCCATACAGGCATATTTAGGCAAAGGACACGTGGAAAAGTGCTGTTGAGAAGACAAGCCATGTTCACAAATCCACAGGGAAAGCCTGTAACTCTTCGTGCAAGAAAAGCTGTCACTGGGAACATGAGTCAATATCTAGAAAACGAAAGCTGAAAATAGCTTTCAGACACATCCCTCAGATGGTTGTCATTTTATGCAATACTTCCCTTGACCTCCGCATCAGGTGAAATGCTGCAGTCTGACTTCAGCACGCTGACCTTTCTCAGAGAGCCTGGCACAAGCCCCAGGCAGGATTGGATTTCTTTAAGAGTGCCTGCACAGTATTATTTCATGCCAGTCCACATGTTTTCTATTAGGCATTAAAAAAAAAAAAAAAAAAAAAAAAAAACCCACACAAATAAGGTGCACATTCACAGCAAGGCTCTGTACAGCCTGTCCAGAGGAAATTAATCTTCCTCAGAATATGCATACTTACCGCCTTCTAACCTGACCCTCTCAGTTTAACTTCCTGGGATTGTTTGTCTTTCTTCTTTTTTTTTAATGCTTTTTATAAGGAATAACTCTTTAAAATGTGTAACATTTAAAGTATTTCATAGAGATGTGATGGCTAGCATAATGTATCTGGGACATAGGAAGTGACTCTCAAAGCAAACCAGCGGCAGCCAGGAAAAGAAGTCGGATTCTGCTTCTATCTGAGTTCTGTACTTTATGTAAAAGTTTCTTTTAAATTACAGATTCAAAGTTCAACCATATGTTTATTTCACATAAAACTGCCACATTTTTGTTTGGCAGTAATTACACCTCGCCATCTGAGAAGACTCAAGATTTTCCTCAATTCAGTTTTGTTCTGTTGGCCACGTCCTGCCACAACCTGCTTTACCCCATTCTGCTCCACCACAGTGCAGCTCCGGCCACCCTCTACAACCCATGCCTGACTTCTGCTACGCTGAAAAACATTGAGGAGTTTTGCTTTCCAGAAAAACAGAAATCTTATTTAACAAAATGAGATTGTTTTTTGTTGTTTTTGTGTTTTAGTTTAATCTTAGATGTTTCCTTAGGCAGCAAGCTGTAAGTACAGATTCACATAGCCAGACTGCATTTAATTTACTCTGCATACAGTCTGTTTTTGCCTTTCAGGTTTTCTTTTTGTCTTCAGTCTATAATGTCTCCTTTTCAAATCTACTTGTTTTTCTCAAGGATAAGGCTGTGGAGGCTAATTTGTATCATACAATCCTTCATCTCTAACCTGTCAGGAATTAGTTTTCCCTTATGCATATTTCCCTGATAATTTCTGTGGATCCTTTCCAGAAGCTGAAATTGAAGGATTCACTTCAATTTTTAACTTCAACTTTTCAGCAGAAAGCTTTCTTGAAATAAATGTCAAAAGAATATTCAGCAAATAGGAAAGAAATGTGAACAGACTCAGATCCCCAAAAAATTAAGCATGAATAGGGAATTCAACTTTTCAGATTAAAACTTTAAGAATGTCCACCAACTTACTGTTTCAGCTCATGAATTTGGGTAATTATTAGCATTCAGATAAACAAAACTGGTTCTACTGTTATAAATGTAGTCATGTGCATTTGTCTGTTACTGAGTCAATAGTCTGCTAATAATCAGATTTACAGCCTTTTGAGGGTCAGCTCCCTGCACTGTCTATACAGACCTGCACTCATTGTTTGTGTGATCGTGTGCTGCCCACCGTGAGACTGGGCTCCTACCTTTGCTTCCTGGACGAGTACAATCTCCAACCATGAGTTGATCCACAATATTACAAGATTAAATTGGATAGGGATAACCCAGGGCAGAAGGTAACCTCTGGACACAGCAACAGAGCCCTTAGATTACTGGGCAAAATCCCACATGAATTGCCTTCAGAAGAACAGGGAAGGAGAGCTGCTTTGGGAGAACAGAATGTCAGAAAGAAAGGAAAAATTTGCTAAGAAAGATAGGTGAAATGTCTCAAAAGATCACTGATCTGCACAGTTTGTCTTTTAAATAACAGAGAGAAGAACAGAGTATATTAGATTATTAGTTTGTCCTCTGACAAATAGTAGTTTATGGGACATTGAAACAAGGATGTAGAGTGGAAATTTGCAAAGTGGCTGCAGAAGGCAATAATTTACAGACCACAAGAAATAAAGAAAGAAATATAGGCCAAAAAAAAACCCCACAAAACCCTCCCCCCCAAAAAAAATCCCAACAGAGAATATCTGTAAAGAGAGGCATTAGAGGAGACACTACATAAATGCTTGAAGAAATTAACATTAGGCTTGTGGTAAATGTTTGGCAAAGGTATAATCTCCAGTTTGTGTAGTATAAGAGCAAGAGATAAGCTGTTTAGGTATGGAATTTAACTTCATATTGAGGATTTTTTTCATTTTTCATAGTGGCTGGATTTGAGAATTTGCAAAAAAAAAAATTGCAAAAGAAGAGCTGCTGTACTAATGGAAATAGTTAAAAGAATGCTGTAACACATGCTTAAGAGTTCAATCTAAATGAAATTATCTGTTTACAGTGGGGTTTAAAGAAAATCCTGCCCTGGAAAGATAACTATTTCCACAAAGTATGTCACATCCTGAGTTTGTTTCCACTGACAGCTTGGTGGTTAATGAGTGAAATTCTCACATTTGAGGAAGAACCTGAGCCACATTCTCTCAACTCTGCTGAATTAAAAAGTGTCAAGAAAGCATTCATAACATGACGGGCACTTCTGGTAAACACTGCTAAGTGAGGCAGCACCTGTGCCTCTCGTAAATAAGATGAGACCTGTAGGATTCAAAGTGCAGTGCAAGTTTTTCACAACAGATACTCAACAGACACATAAAACAGCTGTGCTGGATCAGCAAATGTTCATCCAGGTGAGCATCCTGCTTGTGATGATGGTCAACAGGGGATACCTAGGAAAGAGTTATAAAAGCATAGAAAGAATAGAATACTTTCCCAGAACATTCTTTGACTCCGATTTGAATCTTGGGCATATCCTGAAAAGGAATTTTTTTCCTGAGTTTCAAGTTGGTTTTTGAACCATGAGCATAAACACCCACGGAAGTCACACAGAAAGGCATCCCACCACTTAATTCTGCTTGTGAGGATGACAGTGCATTATGAATGGCTCAACAACTTTCATTTAGTATTGTGAAATTATTGTTAGTAAAAAAATAATTTCTTACGCAGCACAATTGCTGCTTATCATTGTACAAAATTAACCTCCTCAGCAAGCCACCCTTTAGAAAATGAACTGATTTTTTGGCATTTTTTATCTTACATCATTAATTTTTCTTCAAGAGAGCACCTTGGTACTTTCAGACACCTTTGTTGCTCCCTTTGTCATTTCCAGATCTATTATCTCTTGTTTTGTAGTGCTGGAGTAGAGAGAGGCAGCAGCAGGCAACAGAACTTCCACAATTTTTATTAGTTGCCCAGGTGCCTTGGTTAAAAATGGTTCTTTAGTTCTTGTCCCCCTCAATGCACTTGAATGTATCTTTTCTATTTTAGATTATGAATTATTGTTTTATTTGTACACAACTCCAGGGTTTTTTTATTTGTTTTTATTTTCCCCTCCCCATTCAAATAGTGAAAAAATTCTAACTTTAAGTCTTCACATAACTGAGTCAACACACAGGACTTGTTAAAGTGGAAAAAAGCCTCAGTGCAGCTAAAGATTGTCACCTTGTATCAGGGAAGGCTTTCTACTGATAAAATCTGTTAGGCCTCCTGCTGTTGATCACGTAAACCCTGACACAGAGGGCTTTTTTTCTTTTAAGCAGTGAGAAGGAAGCTGGTACCCTCAAGTGCACTGCTTTAGCTTTTGTAGGTACAACAGCAGATGCCTGAAGTGTTTTTGTTAGGTCAGCATTCCGGAGGGATATTTTTAGTTGGAGCAACCGGTTTCTCTGAGAACACGAAGCATTTAGGAACGGTGCAGGGTAAGAGCTAAACAGCATCAATTATCAGCCTGCAAAAAAAATAATTTGCGCTTCAGCTAAGTCTTTCATCAAACACTTCATGGAAATGGTTAGTGCTAGATGTATAACCCAGGCTGTTTTGATCCCCATTCGTTGACTGAGGATGTATGCAGTATATTGGACATGTTTCTTTCATTTATATGATGTACAGCAAAAAATTGGCATTTTTAGAATGGCTAGAGATAAAAATAATAAAGGGACATACATGTTAAGTTTTCCTGGCAAGAATATGGGGCTATGACAGAAGCATAAAAATTCTCTTATGCTAACAGACTGATGCACAAGATGATCCTGTGTAAGCCTGAAGAGAGACTTACTTCTCCTCGTACACAAGGATGAGTTTTGAAGCTTTCTGAAGAAACTTCTTGATGCATGTGGGTAATTTGTCAGTATTAATAGTTATGTATAAATGGAGCACAAAGCCCCATGGTAAAGCATAAAAGTTTTTATGAGAAAATTTAAGAAGTCGGGCTCAACAGCAGGTTCTGCAAAGCCAGGCTTCTCTACAGCTGATAGCTGATCAATGTTGCCCTCATCAGACAGCAGCTGCCAAAGTTCCTGAAGGTATGCCAAGCCATTTGTTCCCCAAACTGCTGGAATATCAAATAGACCAGTGGTACTACGGCGTTATAGCTATATACCACTTTTAGTTCCGGCAGCAATGGTGCGTCTGAAGGAGACCACGATCCCTCCACAGACCTGTCAGCACACATACCTTGCTAAGTCTCTCTTCTGAGCCACAGAGAACACTTACTGGCGACTTCTCCCAGATGATTACCAACTTAGCTCCTGGTTACGCTGCATGCTCACCACCTCCATGGTGGTGTTCCCTACAGCGCTCCTCTGGGGAAAGAGAACACATACTTAGCAGGTAAGAGGAACTGTATGAAAGCAGGACAAGTTACGAATTCAGCACATGGGAAGAGATAGCTAAAGGTGTTCTATGGTTAAATGTACGACTAGTTGAAGGAGTTAGAACCATGTTTCTTAGAAGCTGTTAATTTCATCTGAATAAGTGAATTCAGACCACGAGAACGTTTCGCCTAGAACACAGCCTGCTCTATTTGCCAATTTAAGTATCAAATTTCTGCACTACTGCAAGTTTGGCTTTTTATTTTAGGTAACTAGTATTCTAGCCGGGAAACACTGGAGCTAACAGGAACTGAGACTGTATGAGGGAATACCATCATTCAGTAGTGACACTTTCTAAATCAGTTGCTTATTTGTGACTGAATGACTTGCTGCTACATAAACTACCCGGTGAATCTGTTATTACACTGAAGTATAAGAAGAGACTACTTTAAACATAAGGTAGGCATGAAGCCTCCTCTTTCAGAGATACATAAATATTTCTAAGTATATACTAGTAAATGGGCACGTTAATATGAAAATCATCTTACCATCTTTCTTCTCAAAATGTAAGGAATTATATTTCCTTCCCCTTAAGGAGCTGCGAGTATTTACTCTTATCTCCAAAGTTACAGGTACTCTGTACACCTTGCTTCTGGTATTTTTTCCCTTCAAGAATTGTAATGATTGAGATTTGAAGTTTCAACAGATGAATTTAAGATAGCTCTTTACATTGAACAGAAATGGCAGGCTTTAGATAAACCTGAAGTTGGGTTCAGTGTTTCAGATACAAGAGGGAACAATTTTTCCTTTGAGAAAGCAGATTTTGCTTCAGAATGAAGGTATCAAAATGGGGAAAGGCACCTTTAATATCATACAGATTCCCAGGGGCATGTATTGGACCCTTAAGATATTATTTGTTTAGGCACAGTAGTAAATGCCACTGATCATTACCATCCGCCACTTTGGATATGGTAAAACTGTAACTGAGTACCAACCTATCACCACACTGTCATGTATACTTTACACCCAGTGTGTTTCTGGGATAATTTATGTTTAGGAAACCTGGCATACCACTTGGTCTTAATTCTGAAAAGTCTGCCTGTCTGAGGATTCTGCTGGACCACAGCAGCAAGCACCAATGCACAATTCCTCTTCCTTTTCTTTTTTTTTTCTTTTTTTAAACTTTAGTTGGTCATTGGGTCTGGAGAAATCAAGCTAGCTGTAACAGTACTGGCTCTCTCCTCTTGTTCTCTGATGCCCAGAGGAAAAAGCCAGCACAAAGAAGGAAACGAGGTCACAGATTATCTGGAGAAGCAGTTCTGGTCATAAGGAGACATCTCTGCACACAGCACAAGGTGTTTTAGTTCAAAGCTGCTCACCTGCGTGTCACCAAAAGCTGAGAACATACAACCCCATCTCCACTGGATGCTTTGTCTCCCATTCCTTCCACAGTCAGCAACATTCCCATCTCCTACTGAGTCTTCAAAAATAACTACTCACCTGCAGAGAAACTGACTTTTCCCCACTGAAGGCTGCCTATGAAACAAATGCTTCCGTGTGTTGTCCATGAGCACTCAGGATACACAAAGCCTCATTTATTCTTGATCCTCTTTCCTCTTGATCTTAGTAAGGAGAGAGAATCCTGACAAAACGAAGCTTGGAATAAGATAAGACAATATATTTGCCATTTCTAACTGCTTTATCACCTAGTATAGGCTTTTGCATCTGACAGTTTATTTTCTGGCATAAAAAAAACGTAAACTTTGCTGCAAGTTAAAAATGAACATCTTCAGACTAAAGTCTACCAGCCTTCTTGCTGGCAATCCTGCAGAAGCTCATACTGATCAATGCAAAGAGCTTCATTTCTGAGCATATCTCTGGTGCAGAATACACACACCTGTGCAACCTGTGCTACCTAATGTTTAACAGCACCCCAACCTAGTCCCAAGAAATGCTCTGTCACTTCTCTCCCACAGGATGCTGGGCTTGCATTGGACACCACTCCAGATGAAAAAAAAAAAAAAAAAAAAAAAAAAAAAAAAAAAAGCAAGAAAAAAAAAAGCAAACCTATGCAGGAACCATGTGTTGTATTTGGGAACCCTCCAGGTCATTCTCAAACTGAGATCTCTAAAGGGGCTGCTATGTGGGCTTTGGGTCACTGCAGCTTCCCAGGTTTCCAACTGTTCTCAGTCACTGTACGCCCTGCACGAAGGTGTGCAAATCAAGACTCCATGCACAGGCTTCACTACAAGCACCACGTTCCCTAAACATTGCTCATTGTGGAGGCCTCATGAATCACCGAATGGCCAGGGTTGGAAGGGACCTCAAGGATCATGAATCTCCAACCCCCCTGACACATGCAGGGCCACCAACCTCCACGTTTAATGCTAAACCAGGCTGCCCAGGGCCCCATCCAACCTGGCCTTGAACACCTCCAAGGACGGGGCATCCACAACCTCTCTGGGCAGCCTGTTCCAGCACCTCACCACTCTCTGGGTAAAGAATTTCCCCCTGATGTCCAACCTAAATCTCCCCTCCCTCAACTTAAAACCATTTCCCCTATACATATCAACCCTTTCAAAGAGTTGATTTCCTTCCCTTCTGTAGGCCCCCTTTAGGTATTGAAAGCCCTATGAAATCCCTAGGTATATGAAGCCCTATGAAGTTCATATTTCTTCACTTTTACTTAACTTTTCTAGGATTGTTAAGAGCAGTGAGAAGCATATTCATTTAATAACTGTAAAAAGAATGGACTAACTCTTCATCTGTACTGAAGAACAGGTCAGGCACTAGAACAGGTACAGCAGATATTCAGTACTGCCTCTTGCTTTTTTGTGGCTATTAGTCCATCACTTCAAAACAGTAGGTTTGCAATTATCAGCTGCAGGGTATCACACTCACCTCTCAGAGCAGGACATTTGAAGTAGTGTTATGCACACTAACAGTATTTATTCATTTAGTTTGGCTGTTTCACTATGTTTGAAACATCTTTTCTTACAGGGGTACTTCAGGCTTCCCTAGCTCTCTTTGATGTATTCCTACTCTCTACGTGCCGTTCTTCTAAAATTCCTACCAAGATGAAGAGGCCCTGACAGCCATACTAGCCAGAACAGAATCTCCTTACCTTTCCACACTGAAGTCCAAGGAACCTGCATCTGCTCTTGCACTGATGTTTGAACCTGGGCAAGCTCCACCACCTGACATTCCCTTCACATCTTGCTGTGCCTGCTAGATGAAGCCTGGTTTAGAGTATATCTACCTTTCACAGGAAAAGGACAGACTGATTAAGAGCAAGAAAGATTCCACAAAGCTGTAAAACAGCCAAATAAAGTTGTTTTACTCTGTGGTTTGCCAGGTTATTTACTTGGCTATTTTGCCTTTAACCCTAAACTACATACTTTCTAGTAGCTTAGTTAAGGCACATGTGATTATATTATTCTGCCCACAAACTGAGGATTTCTTTCTCCCACTGTCACACAACCTGAAATCTTCTCAGGGAGCAGACAAGAATGGTTTACTGAGAGCTTTCTGAAGGAATGAATCTAAGCAGTTCTACCACTCCTAGGTCAACCCTCTAAATTCCAAACAAATACTTGGTACTCCTCTGAGAGCAGCCTCCCTTATTGTCAGTCACTGCATCAAGGAGGGTGAGGGGGGGGAGGAAGGTTGTCTTGAAAGGGGCATGGAAATTTAAAAGATGCTTTAAAAAATGTTATTCCTAATAACTATAGTTTTTCTAAGACTACAAAATATAAATGGATGATCATCAACCTGCAGCTGTACTTGACCAACTCCACAAAAAATGACATAAGCCATAAGCACCCCAGGGTAACTGTACCAAAACAGACACTTTAGGCTGAGCCGTTATTGAGGGCGATCTGCACAACCTTGCTGGGATGTGAGCGCTCTGATTCACTCCACTGCAATTTGTACCTGAGTGGCGTGTACGCCCCAGCAAACCTCAGAGTGCCTTTACAAACCAGGAGGCTTCACTTCTGAAATGCTGAACATCAGCAAAGCTTCTTCACAATTCATCCGTGTGCTCCTCGCGTCTCATTATCCACTGAAAGCAATTCTCTTCCAAATGTTATACTGAGGGTAATAAACTGTAAAAGTTTAGCCCTTGGCATTACAGAAAAACAAGCCTCAGTACTTCCATTAGAAATCCCTACTCATAACCTTAAAAAAGACCAAGTACCTCAAAAAGCAGAAACTACTTAGTCTGAGACATACTGACCAGCTAACACCACACAAAGTATTAAGATTTTTTGTCAGTACAGAAACACGACAATCCCAATGGCTCAGAACATCAATAAACCACTAACTTGGTACTTATCAGATTAGTAAACCACTAAAAACTCTTAAGTATCATTTTTTACACCATTCCCATTGTAAGATCACAACGATAAGCAAAACCAAGTTGCAACTCCGTAACAGAATACTTCAAATCTGATAGATTTATGACCTTCCAGACCCTTCCTAATTTTAACTGAAGGATCGTTCTCACAGAAAATTTCTACTAGGATTCTGAAACCAGCTTCCATTGTACTCACTGCCAAGGCTTATATCCATCTACAGCTCACAGCGAGACAAGTTATGACAGTTTTTTTCTCCCTTTATATTCACTCAAGTCTTACGTTAGCATGAAATCTGCAACACACTTCTTACAGATTCTGACAGCTTTTTAGAAAAGTACCTTGCTGTGGTTTTCTTCAGAAAAGATCTTAATTCAAAAGCAAGCGTAAACCACCTACACTTTCAAAGAAATATGTTAATGTGAATGAAATTAGTCTAGCGAAACTGTCCTGAAGTCAACTTCGTGTATGTGCTTCTGCTGAAACTACTACTAATGAGGAATCTATGAAGTTAAGCTGCCTTTGCTGAACTCAGGGGAAGCTTTCTTATTCCAAATGAGCTACGCTGAGTATAAGAGGTTTTAAATATCCAATGCTGGTCACAGGTGCTTTCTTCATCTCTCTGGAGAAAACTGGGGAAAAAAAATGAACAACAGGAAATGCTACACATAGAGCCAGCAATTCAGTACTTGACACATTCAGTTCCTGGCTCTTTTAATACCTGGGTTCATGGAAAAATCCCTTCAAACTGCTAAGATTGCTATGCTTTTAAAAACAACAACAACAACAAAAAAAAAAACCTCACATACTTGATATACCAGAAGCATTTTTGGTGATTTTTCGGTTGAAAATATTTAACATCAGCTTACACTCAACATTCAATTACCACTGCAATAAACACAAAAATTTCCAAACCAAACCCCATATAACCTTCCCACTCCCTGCAGATGAGGAGTCAGTTTCCCATAGAAGTTGGAGTTTAGGTACTGAAATTAATTTAAGTAGTGGAATGTCTGTATTTACTCACCGTTGTCACGTTTGCAGTTGAACATCTTATGCTATCCTACCGGGTAGGCAGCAATACCATGAATGCCCTTCGTAGCTTCCTTAGCACAAGTAATAAGATTCTGTGCCTTTTCTTCCACATCAGTGGCCAAACCAAGCGAAGCTCTTTGCCATGCTAACTGCACAAATAGAGATAGCAAACTATCTCCACTCATCAGACACATGCATCAGTCTCAGAGTAGAAGGAATCCAGATTTCTGACACAGCTGCCTTTACCTAAATGACTGTCAGGAAAATAAGTGTTGGCTTTGGAGCAGACAGTATAATGAACATTCAGGAACTAAACAACCCTCTGAACCAGAACGTATCATTTGAGGAACTGAATTCCTCTCAGACTGAAAATTTAGAACCAGTTACCTCCCTACCTGGCTGTGGTTTCTGACTGTCACAGATGATTCAAGATTCATCTATGTACATTGAAGCTCAACGGTCTAAACAAGCTTTCATGAAGATAACTTCAAAAGAACAAATATAACCCAGTGCTCCCAGACAGGCTCAGCTGTGCAACAATCTGAGAGCTGACCATTTTGGATTAACTTTGCAAAATTAAAATAAAAAATAATCATTAAAAAAATCCACCCAGTTACATCTTGACAAGAAAAAGACATAATTACATGAGACAATCACCCTCCTCTCCAAATCCCAAGTAATCCAACAAGCTAGTCCTTGTACTTTTCAACACAGCTATCACAATAATCAAGGCAACACAGGACTGAAAAAGTCATACTTTCCTCCTGTGTGTTTTATAATATAATTAAACACTTGGAAGCGCTGGCCGATCAGATTCCTGCATGAGAATCAGCTTCTCAAAGTTTAACATCAATTTTTAGGAAGCTTTATGCTTGTTTGCACTATACTTCTGTAAAGTAACAATTTACTCCTCCTTCCCTCAACATTCATACTAAGGGTCAAAGTATCTTCAGCTAAACAACCCTTCCTTACATGTTGAGTTGTTTGTTTCTTTAAATCTGACAGACAGAACAAGTGAGAACGTACATCTGGTGTTTCCTCTACACAGACAGCACAAATACTTATTTCCAGGCTGGGGGTGTCATGCACTAGTGCTGGCAGTTAATTCAGCACAACATCCTGCCTACACTGAGCATCAAGTCCATCGTCAGAAATTGGGATTCATGAGCTTTGTGCTAGGAAGACAAACTCAACCTCCAGCTTTATGGATTTCAGTTCTCTGAGCACTACACTAAAAAGGCTGGATGTGGCTCTGGGCAGCCTGGTCCGGTAGTTGGTGACCTGCACAAAGTGGGGGGTTGAAACTAGATGATATTTGTGGTCCTTTTCAACCCAGGCCATTCAATGATTCTATGACTCTAGAAAGTATTGCCCGATAGTCTACTTCCAAATCTTTCTCCTCCATTTTAAACTATTAACGTTTTCTATTAAGCTTTCACCAATGCAAAGAACAAAATGGTCAAAATTTTGTGGAATGTTAGCAGCCTGAACACAAAATTTACAGAAAATGTTAGTAGAAAATGAAGACAATGTGGATGTAAAGTCTCTCCCCACTGACGTGGGAAAGCACCAACAAAACTACAGGCTGAGCAAATGCCTCTGCAGAATTATCAAAGGCACAAAAAAGAAGTTGCATCTACATGCAGCATTTATGCGATGAAACATTAAGTTAGCAAGCTTATCTTCAGAGGAGGCTGAACTTTTATCAGACTGTCATATCCCCACAATCCTACCAACAACAGAGTTAATATTCCCTAAACTTTTAAAGACAGTATTTACCTAAGAGATGCATCTGCAATAACAGCCTTCCTCTGAACAGTACAAACAAACCCAAGTTTTGCATTCTAAGAATTTTCCTCTTCAAAAAAACCCAAAAAAACCCAAACCCTGCAGTTGCGTGTCCTAAACGAAACCTCTTCAAGTGACAAAAAAAAAAGTTAGAAGTAGAATTTAAAAAGCGTATTGTTTATAAACAAGAAGTGCCGAGCAGGAGTTCCCAATTTCTAACTAACTTCAACTAGGCTGCAAATTTCGGAAAGCACTCCAAATCAGTGTGGAACTACTCTACCTTACGCTCCAACCTTCACGGGCGCTGCAGCACAGAAAGCCTCCTACCAGAATAATCCGAGGCGTCACATGAGGTCAACACTTGCCT